TTATTATTATTATTATTATTATTATTATTATTATTATTATTATTATTATTCCCATTATTATTGTTATTATTATTATTATTATTATTATTATTATTATTATTATTATTATTATTATTATTATTATTATTATTATTATTATTATTATTATTATTATTATTATTATTATTATTATTATTATTATTATTATTATTATTATTATTATTATTATTATTATTATTATTATTATTATTATTATTATTATTATTATTATTATTATTATTATTATTATTAATATTATTATTATTATTATTATTATTATTATTATTATTATTATTGTCAACAACATCAATATTATTATTTTTGTTTAGGTTTTTTGTTTTGTTTGAGTTATTCACGGAGTAACGTAATAATATTACTGTTGATTATTGTAAAATTACTGTAAACACAATAATATTACTGTTATTGACGGTAATATTACTGTTGTTATAGTAAAATTGCTGCCAACCACATCAATATTATTATTTCGCTCGGACATTTTTGTTTGTTTGAGTTATTCACGGAGTAACGTAAATAATATTACTGTCTATTATTGTAATATTACTGTGGTTGATGGTAATATTACTGTTGTTATAGTAATATTACTGTCACTCACGGTAATATTAATTCTTTTGGCTTTTTATTATGTTTACATTTGTTGAACGGTCAACATAGTAATATTACTCTATTATACAATAATAATGAGTTTTGTTGTGTTATACTGTGCTAGAGATTAATATAGCAATATTACTGTGTTAAACTGTATTATAGTTAATTTTACTGTTTTTAACATTAATATAGTTAATATTACTGTCAATCACAGTATTATTGTTGTTTATATGAAAAAAAAATGTTACAGAAAAAAAATCGAAAAAGTCAACGCCGGAAACCGATGTTTGAAAAATCAGGAGGAAAAAAAAGTCAACGCCAGAAACCGGCGAAAAAATCCGGAAGCAAAAAAAAAAAAAAGTCAACGCCGGAGAACGACGGTGATAGACAAAATTGTCCATAAAGATGTGTTTTGGGTCAAAATTAAATAATTTGTAAAATTTGGGGTCAAATTGAGATTAAATTAAATTCAGAATGAAATTGGAGCATATTAAAGTATGAGGGGCTATTTTAGTCTTTTACAAACATTTGAACCATGTGTGGATTTATTTGTAAAAAAATTATTGTCTAGATCTCTATATAAATAATAAGTACCCATTGATGGATTTATTTGTAAAGAGTAAGGACCCTATGTATAAATATATATATAGAGAGAGAGATTGTATTATTCAAATTGTTAAAACTCTCCGTGTTTTTTTGGAGTGTTACATGTATTTGCAACAAGCCTCTAACTACGAGTTTATCGGGGATAATTAGCTAAAAAGAATCGAATTGCCTGCACAATGAAATAAATCCTATTAAAAGATAATTGATTGAAAATACATAGAACCAAATAAAATCACACCCCAATTAAAATCACTGAAGGATGGAGTTTAGTTGAACTAGGAATCTAAACCACTTGAGTCATGACCTAATTTGATCTCATTATATATTGACCTAATTTGGTCTCATTATATATTTGGATTTTGTTGGAAAAACAAACTTGAAAAACCCTGCAAACACACCTCCATTGCAATTCAAGTTCAAGTACGATGAATCAAGAAAAGGCTACACCACCTCAAGCCTCCGACCAAGTACACATCGGAATACCGATCCCACACGGCTACCCTATCTCCGCCAGCCATGCCGCCCCACCACTGCCACCTGCCTCTACCTCCTCCAATGGCTGCGCCGCCTCTCTCTTTGCATCCGTTTATCGAAACCGGCAGCATTATCTCTTTGGATCAGCACTAGTTACCGTACATTTGGTGCTGTTGGCTCTGATCGTCTTTATCGAATACGGATACCCGACTTTCAAGGTTGAAGGGGCTACGGTTTTCGTCCACAACCCTTTCAATTCTTCCTCCGAATATGCGACCGCGCAGTGGAATATAGGCTTGTCTTTCTCTCCCGGAAAGTATCATGATTTGAACTACGATGGTTTGACCGTTTTCTACCGGTTTATTATGTCGCCGGATTGGTCGAGAACAAATATTATTGCACAAAATGGTTGGTCGAGTACGTTTAATGCAACCGGATACACACTAGTACATCGATCAGCCGTAGGATTACCTTTGGAATTTCAGGTACTGGTACAGGTTCAATACCCATACATGTTTATCCATTCTATTTGCAACAATTTGTCTGTTGGATTTTTGTCCAATGCAACCTTAGGGTTTATGGAGGGAGGGCCGATATCATGCATCTAGGATTAATATTAATCCTCACCTTAATTACTATATTTTATTGTTTTTGTCATCTACTTTTCTTTTATTGATTTGTAGCAGTTTCTTGGATTCTTATTGAAATTAATGGGAAAAAAAAATTAAGTTTGCTAATTAAGTTTGGCTAAAACAAATATATTTATATTGTTTGCTCTCTATAACGATTGATTATATTTACTAGTGCCTAACATTCACTATAGTTACAGAATCTAACTATAGCCCGAAAAATTACCTGAGTAAGGGAAAAAAAAAAGACGTAGATCTATAGTACTAATACAAAATCCTGAAGAAAAAAATATTTGTAAATGGGATCATGAAAACTTTTATCATGCAAGAGGCCATGTATTTTGCTCCATTACACGACAACGACATATTTCAGAAACCATGGAAGTTCATATTCGTCCTTAATTCAGAATTCAATTCTTGTATAACTACTATTCTTAAGTCTTAATCATATTCAGTTTGATTCTAGCATGCGTATAATGAGTCAACAATTAAGGATGAGTCAACAATTAAGGTTGTGTTTGACATAATTAAGCATTGAACGTTGAATGTTGAATACATTACTCAACGAATAAGATCAATTTATGAATGCTGAATGTAGAGTGTTTAAGCTTGTTCGATAAGTGAAAAATTATTGTTTCTGAATAATATAATATTACGATATTAACCCTTGTAATTGGTAAACGCGACTTTTTTTATTTACCAATAAAATGATCAATAATATCTAAATAGAAAATTATAACTATGACCCTTGTAATTGTTATTTTATGATCTTTCAATCATTTTACATTATTTGTCTTTTCCGTCAATATACCTATAGTCCGTCAATTAAGACAATAAAGGGCACATGCTTGATTTCCTTTAGGTACTAATGGAAAATTGATAGAAATCACCAAAAATGTTGAATTTTGTTTAACATGAGGGGCTAAATTTGTTCTTTGTATGTGACTAAACATGACCAAATGTGAATGTGAAATCAAGGTAAAACTAAGAGACGAAAATTGTATTTTTCACTTTTAGAGATGGTGTATTTTTTTGTACTTGAGAATTGAGATAGCATCTGCACTAAACATGCAATATGTTGAAAATAAAATACGTGTAATTGAATCTATATAAGTTTTATGTTTCCGTAGGAATACTATTCATACATGCTGACCAACTGATGAACCTGTAGAGTAAGCTACAAAATTTATAACGCCTCATCAAAACCTTTTAAATTGTTGGAAACTAATTAATTAAACAGTTTAAACTTTTGCAATTACGATGAATCAATAAAAAGCTAGAGATCAAGTAAGCATCGGAATTACCCGGTCGCACAAGGCTACCCAACAGCACCACGTCCTCCCCGTATCTCCGTCACTTAATAAGAATATATTTATTGAGTGGGAAAGATACGTATATTCATTGAATAGCAGACTAATATATAGGCAAAAGAATGCCTTTACAATTGATCCTATTACAAGACTTTTTATAGATACAAAATCACGGAATATATGTGATTTGATTATCTACCAAATTAATATTCTTTACATCAACACTCCCCCTCAAGTTGGAGAGTAAGGCTTACTGACTCCTACCTTGCGTAGTATGATTGTAAACTATTGATGACCAAGAGCTTTAGTGAGGATATCAGTAGGTTGGAGATGATGGAAGATAGGACGTCACAATAGAACCAGCAAGCAACTGTTTTGAACATAGTGACAATCTACCTTAGTGACAATCTACCTCAATGTGTTTGGTGCTCTCATGGAAGACTGGATTCGAGGCAATGTGTAAAGCGGCTTGATTATCGCAAAAAAAGACGCATGGGTTGTGTATGAAACACACCAAGAGAGGCCAAAAAATATTTGAGCCAAGTAAGCTCACAAGTGGTCATAGCCATAGCTCGATATTCTGCCTCGGCGGATGAACGGGCAACCGTTGGTTGCTTCTTCGTTTTCCAAGATATGTGAGATGTCCCAAGCTGCACGTAGTACACCGTGAGAGAGCGAAGAGTCTTGGGGCAAGCGGCCCAATCAGCATCACAAAATGCGTATAACTGAAGAGAGCTATCGGACCTAAAGAGAATACCCTGCCCCGGAGAACCATTCAAATAGCGGAGGACACAATATACAACATCTAAATGTTCTTGTCGAGGTACTTGCAGAAACTGAGTAAGTAGTGCACATCATAACAAATATCGGGGCGAGTGATAGAGAGATAGACAAGTCGGCCAACTAAATGGCGATAATGATCTGGTTCACGAATAATACGTCATGTGGCGCTAGAGAGTTTGTGATTTTGCTCCATTGGTTTAATAGCCGGTTTTGCGCCTATGAGACCCGCTTCTTTCAAAATATAAAGTGTATACTTTCGTTGGCACAAGAAAAGGCCAGAAGAATTACGTGCTGCTTCAATGCCATGAAAGTACTTTAGGGGTCCAAGGTCTTTGAGTTTAAAACAATCGTTCAGATAAGTTTTAAAGACCTTGCACGCGTGGGTATTGTTTCCTCCCACAATTATGTCATCCACATAGACAAGGAGAGAGAGAAAAATATTACCGTTACGATAAGTAAATAATGTATGATCAGCATGAGACTGGAGAAAAACCATAACGGCGAAGAGCGGCAGCTAGCTTGGCGAACCAATTTCTAGGCGATTGGCGCGGTCCATATAGAGATTTTCGGAGATGGCAAACTTTGTTCGGGTGAGACGAAGAAAAATTTGGTTGAAGACGCATATAAACTTCCTCACGTAGATCACCATGGAGAAACGCATTGTTTTCATCGAGTTGGTGGATCTCCCACCCTTCAATTACGGTTATGGCAAGAAACGTCCGTACACTTACTAGTTTAGCTATCGGAGCGAACGTCTCGTCATAATCAATACCTGCCACTTGAGTATCTCCGCGAACCTCTACTCGAGCTTTCTACCGTTCGATTGATCCATCCGAATTATAATTGAGCTTGCAAACCCATTTACAACTAATTGGATTTTTTCCGGGCAGAAGGTCAGAAATAACCCAAGTGCCGTTACGCTCCAAAGCATCAATTTCAATTTGCATTGCCTAACGCCAATTTGGATCCTGTACAGCCTCATTAAAGGTACGGGGTTCAACCCCAGCAGAAACAACAGCTACAAATTTGATGTGAGACTTTGAAAAATTGTGACAAGAAACATAATTAGCTAAAGGGAACCGCGTACCAGAGTACCTGGCGGAAATGAGTGATGATGGGGGTGTAATATACGAGTCAAGTGACAAACAAAATCCCGAAGAAGTGGCGGTGGTTGGCGAGAGCGAAGATCACGACCGAGAGGCTGCTCGGGATTTTCAACCAAAAGTGTCGAGGAAGAGGTCTCGACAGACAGTTCTGGTGAGTTGGGCTCGGCAGACGGTTTTGGTGAGTTGGGCTAGACAGACAGCCGGTGAGATATGTATTGAGGCTGATCCCTTGACTCCACCATAAGTGGAGGACTAGAAAGTACATAGTTCCAATCAGACGTATGGAACAAAGGAGATTTTTCTATAGACAATGCATATGGAAACACATTTTCATCAAACTGAACATCTCTAGACACAAAGAGGCTATGTGTTTCTAGATCCATGACCTTCCAACCTTTTTATCCATGAGGGTAACCCAAAAACACACATTTTCGACCACGAGGTGCAAACATGTCTTTAGAGCGATCTTTATTATGTGTATAGCATAGACAACCAAACGTGCGAAGATGGTGAAGAGAGAGGGTGCACCAGAAAATATTTTTTCTTGAGGCGTGAGGCCATGCAATAGGGGAGTGGGTGTCCGGTTTATCAAGTGGGCAGCAGTAAGGACACACTCTCCCCAAAATTTGATGGGTAAAGATTCTTGAAATAACAAGGCACATGCGATATTTAAAATATGTCGGTGTTTTCTCTCAATACGGCCGTTTTGTTGTGGAGTGCTCACGATACTAGTTTGGTGGATTATACCATGCTGAGCATAAAAATTCATCATAAAGTTTGAGGTAAATTCCATGCCATTATCGCTTCTAATGATTTTCACTACTTTATCAAATTGAGGTTTAGCAAATGCACAAAATTGTCTCAAGAAAGAGCTAATTTTACTTTTCTCATGCATAAGATAAACCCAAACGGCACGACTAAAATCGTCCACAATAGTAAGAAAATAAGTTGCACCTGAAAGCGTAGATTTTTTATAGGGACCCCAAATATCACAATGTATTAAATCAACTACTACCGGTGGGAAAACTAGGCCGTGTTTGTTTTGTGTTGGTCGAAAACCTACACGCAAGTGCACGTATCGTACAAGTAATATAGTGGACTAAAAGTCCGGATATCGAACCCACAGGGAATATTTAATTATCTAATCCTAGACGCTAAATTCTACCAATTATTATCAAGCCCACCCTACAAAGTCGACTTTAGAGAGAATTAACTAGATTAAAATAAATTAAAAACAAGCAAAAACAAGAAAGCAATTTAAAACGAAGATTTAATCAAGATAAGCAAGCCTAGGATTTTATTCTTCCCCCTATGTGATTATTATTCCCCCAATTCCTTCAATTATGCAAGCAATTAACCCGAATTATTAACCTGAGATGCTAAAATAATCATAACCCGCTTCCGCGTGTATTACGATTCTAATACTCTAGATTCAATTACTATATTCCTATGCAATTAATTCTAGAACACAGCATTAAGCACAAATCTCAATAATGGCTACCTAAGAGATTAACTATATTCCTATGTTAATACCACAAAGGCTCTTCTACCACAGTTCTAATTATTAACCCGATCTTCCGATTCATGCGATTAACAATAACATAAAAGCACATAAGTTGATCAAGTTCATGCACTTAATAAAACAAGTAGAAGAAATAATCTGGAATTAAAACTTGCATAAAATCATAGAAAAGGGTTCATAAATCCCACAAAGGGTTCCAAATAAAATCCTAGAAATAAGAAAATTAGCTACTCATGATTAAAGGAAAAACACAAATAAAATAAATCATAGACGATAAATCTATGCTTGAAGTCTTCGAATTCTTCGTCTTCGTTATTGCTTTGTTGTTCTCCAAATTGCGTAAAAAGATGCTCAATTGTGTGCTTGGCTTGTTCTTATATAGGGTGAAGAACTTGGGGAAGAAGGCAGCTCAGCTTCCTTGTGCAATTAAAATTCCTTTACTCCGCAACTTCGGAGTCTCGGACGGGGGTCCCACAATTTGCACTAAAACTGGGACGGGGGTCCGAGCGTTAAATCTTCCGAATTTGATATTTTCACTTTTGACCCATATTTTCGCCAAAATTGCAGTTTTGACCCCATACTTTTCCAATTCTTCAATTTGTACCTAAAATACAATAAATCAACTTTTTAAGCACCAATTATCGTGAAAACACGCCAAAAGCTCAAATAAAAAGGTACGATAAAGTGTAAAAATATACACTTAACACACCCCCAAACTTGAACTTTTGCTTGTCCTCAAGCAAAATCTACCAATAAGCAAATAACTCAACGATAACATCTCATCACATAGATCAATGATCAACTTCACGTTTTCAGAACTTGTAATTATAATGACAATTCTTAGGCATTCGCAAGCTCAAAATTCAACAACACTTAGTCACTCACCATTACCAAAAACCACAATTCATACAATTGCTTCAAGCATCCAATATTTGCAAATTAAAGATAGAAAGAATTTATACTTACATGCATATGTTTGACTCCAAATACTCACCAAATTATCATACTCTACTAATATCGAACATTAAGCTATTGGGATCATTGGGGCTTTGTGGCTTTCAATTGTTAGGCTCTTTGGTTCGAGGTAGGAAATATGGGTATGTGTGGCAATTCTTCTTGAATTTAGGTGATTACGCCAAAATTTGAAAGATAGGCGTTTGAAACAATGAATTCACCTCTACGGACTTTAATAAACTCGATTTTCAAAAGTTCAAAAGTCTCCACTTTTGCTTTTGAGGCAATGGATCGAGTTTTCAAAAATAATTCAACAACTAGTCATTATTTCTCCCTTCTAGTCTCTTATTCTTCTCTCTTTTTTATTTTTTTATTTTTTTTATTTTTTTTTTATTTAGTATATATATAGAAGCATATATATTTATCTCTTTTTTTTTTTTCGAAGAAGAAGAAGGACCTTATAAAAATTTTCGACCGAACTCCAAGGGATAATTTTTTCAAGAATCTCCACCTATTCTACCTTACACATTGGCTAAAAGAAAGAACACCTTTTCTCCGAGGCTCAAAACAAGGTTCTAAGGATAATTTCGATAAAAAGGTCGGCTTGAAAGGCTCAAACGGTTCAAAGAAGGCCCAAATCATATCCCAAATCACTCACTACTCAATACTTCGTATCATAAATTTCCTAAGGTGAGTCTTAAAACCGAACATAGCATGATCTAGCACAAATTAATTCCAAATTTAAAATACAAAACATTCAACAAAAGCAATGCACAAAATGTGATTCCTAGCAATAATTCGCTTCTAAGTCCCGTTGAATCGAAAGCTAAACAAATATCAAATCCTTGTCACATAAAACAAGCAATTTCATCATCAAACATTGATCATCTCTCATCATCATAAATCATAGATGCATTCGACTCAAGCAAAATTTTTTTTTTTTTCGGAAAAACGAGAAAAACAATAAAAACGAATAAAACCTAATTCATGCAAACTAAAACAAATAAGCACAAAAATAACATGTTTTTCACCCCCAAACTTAAAATTTTCGTTGCCCTCAACGAAATTAGCACAAAGTTTAAGGATAGAAAACACCTGATTTAGTCAGAGTCGATGTGATCGGGGTGCTCCTCCCTAGCTCTCTCATGCTCCTCATCATCGGAAAGCTCTCTCGCTCCATCTTCATTCGGAATCGTCGATCGGCACGGGAGCTTGAGGCTTCGGGGTCGTCTCGGGCTTGAGGAGCGGCTTTGGAAGAGGAATCGTCGTTTTGGTGTCACTTTTCTTGCCTTTTCCTTTGCCTTTAGAAGATGAAGCTTCACTCGTGCGGCTTCTTTTGTTGGACAAGAAAGTTGGGAGAGAGGTTGGAATAGATTCGGTAAGAATTGGTTGACAATCGAACTCAAAATTTGATTGGAGCAAATTATCGAACACCTTGTGGGCGTGCCTTGAAAGAGTAGATTTTGGAGAATTTGGTTTGATTCTCTAGCTTCCTTTTGTGTGTGAGAGTTTGAGAGAAGGAAAGAGGAGGGTTTAGGAAATAATGGGGGAAAAAATATAATTTTTTAAAGTTAAAACGCCCTAAAAATAGTCGGACGGCCGTCCCGGTTTTTGTGCTGATTTTCGGACGGCCGTCCGAAAGTTGCTAGGCCTTACTGGTTTTGGGACGGCCGTCCCACAAATTAGGCATGTTTTGGGACGGCCGTCCCACATGTTGTGATGCTCGATTGTGCCTTCTGTTTCCCAGACGGCCGTCTGGGATTTTGCTTGCAATTTCGGACGGCCGTCTGGACCTTCTGACCATGTTTTCGACCCTGAAAATTAAAATTCAAATAAATTTATTAGAATGCATGCCTATGACAATAAAAACGAAACGAAAAATTAAAGAAAACTACGAAAAACAATAAAGCTCGGGTTGCCTCCCGAGAAGCGCTAAGTTTAAAGTCTTCAGCCGGACTTTGCTTCTTTATTTTCAAGCAAAAGTGACCGAGGTCACTTGGCATTCTTCACTCTCTTCCCAATACATTTTGAGCCGGCTCCGCTTCACGTTGAACGTACGATTTGAATCGCGCTCCTTTATTTTGACCACCTCGTGAGGAAGAATTTCTTGGACAATAAACGGCCGCGACCACTTTGATTTGCGCTTCGTTGGAAATAACCAAAGACGGGATTCGCACAATAACACCAATTTTCCTTTGTGCAATTCCTTTTTGATTTTCTCCTTACGACCACAATAGCTTGACTCATCCTTCTCTCGTGACTTGCTCGAGCCTTTGGGTGGCAACATCTTCCTTGCATTCTCATCGTCGTTAAGACCTCGAATCGCATGACTTTCTCTCGGAGGATTTAAAAGTGAGTCCATGAA